TTTCTTAGCTGAATTCATTAAGTCTGAAAGATTTAATGGGAAGAACTATGCTACCTGGAAGAGAAAAATAGGTTATGTCTTCTTTAAAGGATTTAGCCAAATGCTTACTAATGACTTCCCACTTGTCCCAAGAGGAAATACTTATAAAAGACAGCCTGTAAGAGACACTCATGCTCAATTGGAGCGCAAAAACACCCTAGCATATATGTACTACTTATGGCCATGGATGACACCCATGCTCTCAAGTATGAGCACTTGAAGACTGCAAAGGAGATTCATGAAGGACTTGAAACTGATTATACATCACCTTCTCTCACTAGGAAGACAATAGCTATGAAGCAATATTCAGATTTGAAGACAAAAGAATGAGGCAAATTAACCAAGCATATACAACAGTTCAGAGCTTTAGTCATGGACTTGAGGCTGCACAAGTTAAGCCGGATGAAAACATGCAAATCAGCCAGTTGTTGAATTCTATGCCAAGCTCATAAGAAAGCTTCATTTCAGGCCTTACAGCAAGGGAGAGCATGCCAAAGTTGGACGAGATCATCACCAAACTTAAAGCTGAAGAAGAAAGGAGATTGCCTCGCCATACTTCAGCCTTGAATGACTATATAAATCTGGTAAACCTTAAACGCAACTCTAGTTCATTCAAGAAGAAGAAGGGCCAAGGAAAGAATAAGAACAAAATCAATGAGAATCAAAGGGGAATAATGGTCTAAGAAGAAGAAGAAGAAGTTTAAGAATACGAAGTGATATAACAACTGCAAGAAATTTGGGCACATTGCGAAGTATTGCAAAGCACCCAGAATACATATCCCAAGGGCGATAGGGAGCATGCTTGTGTGGTCCTTGAGTCTATGCTAGCTGACCCAAAAGTGGGGCCATGGTGTTTTGACTCTGGGTCCACTGCCCATGTATCAAACACAAAGAATGGGTATAGAAATTTTAACCATGTCGCCTCTAGTGATCAGTATATTTATATGAGTGGGAATCAAAAGACTGAAATTCTAGGTATTGGAGATTTAATCCTTCAACTTGAGAATGGCAAAAGCATGGTCCTAAAGCAAACTCTTTATGCTCCTTAGCTGAGGAAGAGTTTGGTTTTAGTCGCTAAATTAACTAAGGTTGGCTGCTTCACTATTTTTATGAGTAATAGGGTGGAGGTGAAATATGGAGATGAAATATTCATGAATGGTCATCTTGTAGAAGGTTTCTTTTCAGTTGCAATAAAGAATTCAATTTCTTATGTCTCGTGCTATAATGATAACATTGATGATGCATACATATGGCTCATGAGGCTAGGGCATATAAATCCTAAAAGGATGGAGAGAGTAAAGAGAGAGGGATTACTATATAATCTAAATGGAGCCTTAACCAGAGTTTGTGAATCATGTGTTCAAGGAAAGGTGGTTAAGAAATCCTTTGCAAAAGCTCAAGGAGCTACTGGCATATTAGAGATTATCCATTGTGACATTTGTGGATCTATGAATTTGGCCACTAAGGGCAGCAAGAGGTATTTTATTACCTTTATAGATGATCACTCCCATTTTGGCCATGTCTATCTGTTAAGTGAAAGGTCTGAAGCCCTAGACCGGTTCAAAGAGTATAAAGTCGAAGTAGAAACTCAAACAAATCAGAAAATTAAAGTCCTTAGATCTGATAAGGGTGGAGAATATTCCTCATGACTATTTAATGAACTCTATATTGAGCATGGTATTATACATCAGTACCATGTCATGCCCTCCTTAGCGAAATGGGGTAGTAGAGAGACAGAACAGGACCCCGATGGAAATGGTGAGGAGCATCATGGGACATGCTAAACTCTCCCTAGAATTTTGGGGAGAAGCTGTTTTGATATCCAACTATATCCTTAATCGGACTCTCGCAAAAGTTGTCCCACTAACTCATGAGATTTTTACTGGTCGTGCTGCATCCCTTGATCACCTCAAAGTGTGGGGATGCTCTGCCCATGTCCTAATACGCCATCAAAATAGGACAAAATTAGATCTTAAAAGTGTTTAGTTCATCTTCATAAGATACCCACCACGATACCGTTTTTATAATCCTGACACATGGGCTGTCCTTGAGAGTAGGGACACACATTTTTCTTGAGGAAAAATTCCAAGGTCGTCACACTTTGAAACGAGCCGAGTTTCATGCGATAGAAAATGACATAATTTAGGCCATGGATCTTGAACCACCTCGTCCTAGGAGAAGTAACCGAATTACAAGAAAATCAGAGTTCTTCAACTACTTAGGAGAATATTATGAAAGAATTGAAGAAGAATGCCTACATGAACCCTGCTCTTACCACAAAGCCATAATCTGTCATGAAAAGGCACAATGGGAAAAATCCATGATCGATGAAGTTAACTCGATTAAACAAAATAATATTTGGGAACTGATGAAACTACCTCCTGATAGGAAATCCATAGGCTGCAAGTGGATTTATAAGGAAAAATTCAAGTCAGAAGGACAGTTGGAGAAATACAAAGCTAGATTACTTGCTACAAGCTTTACCCAAAAAGAAGGAATAGATTATGACGAGACCTTCAAAATTCCCTTCCATTAGAATCCTAATAGTCATAACAGCTCATTTCGACTTCGAGCTCCACCAAATTAATGTTTTTAAAAAAAAAAAAATTTAATAATTTTTTTTTTTTGAAAGTTAAGACTACATTTTTTAATGGGGAGCTAGAAGAAGAAATTTATATGAGACAACCAGAGGGCATCAAAGAAAAGGGTAAGGAAAACCTAATGTGTAAACTCAACAAGCCCTTTTATGGCCTGAAGCAAGCATCGCAATAGTACATCAGAGGGCACATCATTCAAGAAATCGAGCATATGAGATGTATTAAGTTCTATGGAGGTGACCCTACGCACACTCAAGTAAGTATTCCCAATAGTTTGTTTTATTTTTAGCCATATTTGTATATTTATTCAATTCCCGACTATTTGTTTTATTTTTTTAGTCATATTTGTATATTTATTCTGAATTTTTAGGAACATTATTTGTACTTAAATTGCTAGTAAAAGACTGTTTTTCAGTCTTGGATTGTGTCAATTCAATTTTGCAGTAAGAACAAAGGTCCTAGGTTGTATTTACGGTTTGTTTTCTTATTTACAGCAGTGTATTCTGACAATTTTAAGTGGAATTCATATTGATTAATAAAAGAAAAAGAGAATTTTTTATTTTATTGCCTTGAATTCTACATTGCCACTTCTTCAAAGAGGGATGGGGATTTTTTAGATTTAGGGCTCATTTTAGATTAAGAAAGAAATTAGGGTTTCGTCCAGATCTTATTAGAAGAGATGTGGGTTAGGCTTTCAAATGAAGATAGGAAGTTTCAGCCTCATAATTAGGTTTTCATTTTAAATCCGATCTGAAGCTGGATGAAGGTGAAGAAAGAAGGGAGAATGAATGAGAGAAGGTTTAACTGAGATGAGAAAGAAAGAAGGAAGAATAAAGGAAGATTTAATGGAGAAGAAAGAAAACTTAATGGAGAAGAGAAAGACCTAACCTTACAATTAGAGGCCTTAGAGACCAGATTGCCACTCTATTACCATTAAGTTTGATGTTTGTCACCAAGAAGAAATAGAGTAAGACAAGAGAAGAGCAAGAGAGAGTGGTCGGCCTCCCAAAGCAGTATGCTAGCACTGCATCTTCATTATGTGATATAAATATTACATGACTAGATGGTAGGGTTTGTAGAATTACAACATGCCCTTCATATCTAGGGATAGTAGGGTTTGTAGAATTACATGTCCTTAATATCTAGGGATATTACATTGTGAAATAAACTAACAAATAATAACAACAATAATGCCCCTTATACAGGATACATGGTCATGATGCATAGACTAACATACAGTGCTTTCAAGCGTGAGCACAGAAATGGAACCTGCAACTAAATGGTAAGGCAAGTCAAATGCTAAGGCAAGTTTGAGGAAATAGACTAATAATTTCATTCCAGAGGTGTCCAAGTAATTCATTAAGGATGTTGAACATACTGATTCCTCAATACAAGCTCATCTTATAGTGTGATTGCCATTATTTCAATTTTGGAACCTTAGATCAGGTTTCCAAATTGCAATCACTACATGTATCAAAATTTATTCCACAGGGAACCATACAAATATGTGACCATCTTTGCCCCATTTAAAGAATAAATGACCAAGCGACATGATATGTAATGCACAAGATAAAAAAAAAAGAAACAAGGACAGAAGAGAAGATAAATAAAATGAAAGATCTTGAAAAATTTATAAAGGACACGGTTTCTATGAGTCCCCGAACTCATATGTAGAAATGCGCCCCCCTCTTAATAGTGCATTTTTTAAATAGATTTTATTCTAACATGGAGATCATTAATATATAAAAAATAAATTTTTAAAACTAAAAAAGATAAAAAAATTTTAAGGAAATATTTATAACTATTGGTTTTAACGTTTTTTTGGAGGGACCACCCTTTATATCCATCTTTGAGATGGATCGTTTATGCCTCGGGGGATGCAAATGTAGTCCCTGATGCATATAATACTTTTCCATTTATAAATATCTAACAACCTTCAAGCAAAGAAAGAATAGAACACGCTAGGACGCAAATAAGACTGAACAATCAAAATAGTCAGCATTGATTATCATGTTTTCAGGGTCAAAGTTAAAGTTCAGCTAGAAAACATTGAAGTTGAGCGAGTTCATAACATGAGAGGCTCCACCCATTCCCATGAGTTTTTTATCTATGGTCTCCACACAATAATATGGTCAATAAGATAATGCAAAAGATGCTATTCATACAAAGATATGAAAAAAATATTCAATGAGTTCTTAAAGCATGGACATAACAGAGTTTAACAAATGAAAAAAGCAAATTCTATGTAATAAAACCATTTAGTTCTCATACCACGGCGTGTGAGATGTGTTCCCTGAAGACCATTTCTCATTCAAAGAGAAGAAATTTTATACAAAAAAAACAGAGAGAGAGAGAGAGATTTACCATTGCCAGGAACTCTCAAACATGCAACCAACTTCTTCTTCTCATCCATGCACTGGTTAGAAGCATCACACTCTTCTGCTCCATATTTATCCTTTCTAGCAGGCTTGCTTGAACTAGGAACCCCCTTTTGAACCTTTGGTTTCTCACTTAAATTCTCCTTCTCATTCCCCTCTTTTTGTGGATTACCTTTGCTTCCCTCTACCGTCATGTTTTCAGGATTAGATTCCTCATTAGGAACATTAGTTTTATCTAACTTCTCATTTTTGACATGAGAAGTGTGTCCATAAGCCATTTCACTGGATTCTTTCTCTAATGTCCCATTTTTCACATGAAAATGTATCTCCTGCTTAGATTCTTTATCATCTTTCTCCTTAACTCCTTCACCCTGGCTTGAATGGTTCATCACCAGTTCAGCTCCACTGGAGTTGAGCAAGGCACTAGAATGTGATAGAACTTCAGTGGATTTTGCAATTGGCACCACAACAGAACTGCCATTATCTCTTTTTTCAACTGGCGAATCATGTAATGGGGTAAGATTTGACTCAGAAACAATGCTTGAATTTGTTGCCTTAACCTAAAAATTACACTCCAAAAATCAAATGAAAGGAATACAAAGACCACAATTTATTGGGGGAATGTCTATGCCAGAATACCCAATTTTTAAACAATGGCCAAAGAGCTTTCACCCACAATCATCAGCATGCACGTTACTGTAGTCTTATATGGGCAAACACTAACTGAACAATTTAGAAAAGCATATACGCTCGCAAAATGACTAGTTAACCAACTAAAATCATTAAAAATCAACTAGTTCTGGTTAAACAAATGCAAGAATTTTTTCACTTCTTCTTACTGCAATTAGACGCATAAACACATAAAAAAGCGACCTTAAAGGAGAGGAGTGAAGCATGACGTAATTTGGTCTTTTGCAAAATATCAGAATTAAAGGAAACAAAAAACTTAAGTATGGCTCTCAAAGCACAATCACTAACCCCAACTTAATATATCTCAAAAACACGATAACTGGCATTGGCGACCTGAACATTTAGCTAATAACTCTCTGTTTTTTTACGAAAACAGGGGAAGTATTTAGCAAAGTTCCTCCCACAAAGTTATTATTAGATGGAAAAATAGAGAATGAAACTTTTGCTGGAAACATTTTCTTAAGAAAAAGGGAACATTTTCTTAAGAAAAAGGGAAAGAAAGACCGCAAACTTTGATATCAGTATTTCATGCTTCATTTTATTTTCTCTTCTATAACTTCAAAGAAAAAATAGAAAAAAATTCAATTTTCTAGTGAACTTCAAGTCCAAAAGAATATCAAGGTTACATTCTCTCCAAGCCACAAAAAACAAAGCAATTAATCTCTGCATTGCCTTGATATAAAATCAGGATTAGCAGATTCCTCATGACATTCCATATATTTAGCTGCTGCTTAAATATTTCAAGAATAATTTCTCTATAAATTCCAACTAATAAAACCAGGTCAACTACAAATTAAAACTGCATTGAGATTGACCTTTTCTTCTGCATCATCTCCATTAACAAAAACCAGCAAAAGGACGAGCACAAGACGAGGGATATTATTCATTCCCATCTATGCCGCAATAAACCCACTAAAATACAAGAGAAAAGGAGAAGTTGTAACGCAAGACCATGGCTTCAATGAGTTCGATCTCAAAATGCTTGTTTCAGTGATCGACAAATCCCAGTGAGATCAGATCACAGAGAGTGTGCGTCTGGGGAGAGCGTTGAAAGGCAAAAGCAGGCAGCGTATCATCCACGTAAAGGACAGCAGCAGGTCGTGGTCGCGTTTTAAGTTCTCCGAAGCGACAGGGATGATCCCTGTATTTTATTGGAATGACCCGATTGTACATGTATGATATTTATTAAAAGAAAAAGTTCAGGGTTCCTATATAGGAAAGCCTTTTATATTCTCGTTTTTATGTTCTCCCTATAAAAAGTTCTATCCTTCCTTTGCCGTTTATTTTTTATCAAGAGAGTCATTTATGATTTGATCTTAGATCCGACGTTCTAAAATATTTTATTTTTAATTTTTTTAATACAATTTTTTTTAATATGAAATTTGGTACATATCATCTTCTCATTGGGGCAGGTACATGTCATCTTCTCATTGGGGCACACCTATAAAAAAATATTAACAATAATTTTTTGATAAAAAATAATAACCAAAATACCCTTTAAAACTTTCTAAAGTATTTTGATCATTTTATTTTATTAAAAATATTTTTTTTTTATTTTTTCGTTAGTGCAGTTTAATAGAGGAATGAACGTCCAAAATTTGGTGTCAAAACAATTTATAGAAAAACTTTTAAAAATAAAATAGTGTAGAGCCGTGACATTGTGATTGGGGCAATTTTAGCCCTCCATTAAAAAATGGACGGTTAGATAAGGAGAGGATAGAACTTCTATATAGTAAAAGGAACATAGAAAGCTTTCCCCCTATATTATACACATGTCATAATCACTCATAGTCATTAGATGTCAAATTAGATGGCTTAAACTGTGGGAAAAAAATTATACAAGGATACAGCCTTATAACATAGAACTACGGATTCACCTAAAAAATCCATCGAAAAAGGTAGTTTTAATGTTGAAAAACCCTTTGATTGATCATCTCGATATCAAGATGTATGACCATGAAAAATAAAAAGATTTTAAGTATCAGAAATAGTGCATTTTACAACATATTATCTACAACGTCCATTTTCAAGATTTTCATATGTTTATAGATCTCCTTGATTTTAACCATTTTTTTAATTTAAAATGTTATAATTAGATATAAAAGTAGATTTTGAGATAATCTTAAGAACATTTTACATCAAAATTATATACCATGATAAAATTTTAAGGTGCACCTTACCTCTACAACTACGGATGTACCCATATGCCAACTGCACCCTAGACTGTGTCATAAAGATCAAGAATTTTTTTTGTTTTTTATCTTTGAATGACATACTTACAACCACTTGATTTGAAATCTAATGAATGACAACAATTATGACCTTCTTATGCTAAAAGTAAATAGGTCACTTTGGAAAATTTCCAAAAGTTTATATAAGGTAGACACCTTTAATTGTAGAATTAAAGTGCACCTCAAAACTCCATAGGAAAATGTTATTTTAATATTAGAAAATCATCTAATGGATCATCTTGGCATCAAGATGTATGAATATGAGAAAAAAAAAAAGGATTTCAAGTCCAAAAAATAGTACATCTTACAATGGCTTAGCTGGACCGTCCATATCAAGATTTTCATGTGTATATAGACATATTTGTTTGAACTATTTTTGGAGTTTAAAAGTTTATAATTAGAGATGAAAATAGATTTTCGATTCCAAATTGCCTCTTATGACAAATTTTGGTTAGCTTTATTATTTGTTCAAAGGAAAAAGTTGTAACTTTATACTATATAAATAAGGTGCATCTCAAAAATATAATAGAAAATACTATTCCAAAGTTAGAAAACCATCCAATTAATCATCTCAACTTCAAGATGTTTCAAGTTTTAAAATTAGTGTATCTTGTAGCAAGCTATCTCGACCGTTTGCTTTCAAGATTTTTAGGTGTTTATAAATGTGTAATTTGAAACATTTTTTGAAATTTTAAATCTTATAATTAGAGTTAAACATGGATTTTCAAGCCAGGGTTTTTTACTCTAGAACTACATCTTCTGACCGAATTTACAGGTGTAGCTTACTTGTATAGTAAAGGTGTGCCCCTTATACAAACCTCACCTTTGTTCATATTGACAGAAAAATATACCATGAGGAGGTTGTTGAGGCAGTCTATTGCCGTGTATGTGGCCATCCATGCAGTGGATGCACGGCTGGTAGTGAAGTGATAGTGGGACCTAATGCATGATCATGGTGAGTTAGCTCTCTATCCAACACCATCTTACACATCCATTGGATGGCGATGAAGCATACTGTCTGGATTTTTATAGCCACATTGATCATAGTGTATTTCATGCTTATCCATACGTAGGTTCACTTGTTGAACATATTAAATTGTTAGACCAATGCACTTTTGTCTATTGGCTACATGCGGCCTAAGACTAGGCCACATGCAGCCTCAATCTGGCTACAAGCGGCTTAAGACTAGGCCACATGCAGCCTCAATCTGTCTACATGCGGCCTAAGACTAGGCCACTTGTAGCCTCAAGCTGGCTACATGAAGCACCAACATGGGATTGATTTTGGGATGCATGTCAAATATATATAAGACCTTGATATCTTAGATCTTTTGGTTTGGATTGTCTATTTTCAGCCTTAGGGTTCTAGCCTTCAATTTATAAATACACCCTGGGCCCTCCCAATCCCTAATCTAAGAGAACACCTTCGTGAGAATAGCCTCATACTCAAAACCTAATAACCTCATATCTAAACGAGAGATAGCATAAGATCCTAGAGCCCAATTAATTTTTCATTTAGAGAAAAAACCTAGCCTTAGGATGGGAAACCCTAGATCAGACCTACATCAACCTTGACCTTGACCCTTTGATCAACCCCTGGATAGATCCAACTTTAGGATCCCATAAACCTCATATTTAACCATAGAAACCATGAATCTATCCTCAATAACCTTAGATCCATCCCCATAAGCCTTAGATCTAATGTTACTAACCCTAGATCTAGTGCATAAACCTCAAATCAGCCTATTCCAATATCATATATCAATCCACGCTTGTTCCAGCTACACCAACATTAGGAGATTCCCATATTATTGTCTTACGACATATTTATTACGATATGATTCATTTGCTTTCATGCCGAAAATTCTTTTTCATCTTATTAATTTTTCTTTTATTCCTTCTATTTATTACTATTATTTTTTTCTTCTTTTTTATCACGTTCTTTATATGAGTTCCCTTTTTAATGTATTTTGGGAGACTTAGGATTACTACTTAGGTGGTGTGGCGGTGTGGCAAGAGTAGCAGTATCCTACTATATTTTTGGTGGAACTCTCTCTCTCCCTCAGTCCTCTTATTCTTATTTTCCTTCTAATTTCATTTCTTTCAACTTCTAATTTAAAAGAGGAAATCCTTCTATCCTACCTTTCCCACAATCCAAGAAAGGTGGGGGCGAAAGCAAAGGGTAAAGAGTGTGGCATCTCCATTGAATCTTAAAGTTTTCAAATAAGGACTCGAGTGAAGAGACACACATCCTAAATGTGCGTGTGCAAAGCAAATTGGGTAACCCACATGACCATCAGCTTAATCTGGAAACCCCTTCTCCTGTTGGGAAACAATCCAAGGCAAATTGTGATCGGTTCAACTACCATTTTACACGGTTCAAGACTGGAGTTGGCACATGAGGCTAGGAGATGGATGCAAGTGACCAAGATCGGCCCACAGAGAGACTAAACATGAACACATCTAGAATGAACATGCAGTCCTTTGGGGCCCACCTACAAAGACTTGGCTACAGTCTACATCGAGTCTTGACCATACTCATGCTTACATCCGCACTTCCACCCTAGTGTCAATCAAGTCATGTATGATTGACTTTATGGTTTTGGTAGACTAACCAATCCAAACCCACGATCACCACCATAAAGTTACACCAATAGTGCCACTAGATTAGCCTATTTTTGCATCACATGCATGTGAGACCTTGTTCTGTGCATCCATATTATTTTATATTGTTCTACATCTATTATTAGAATGTCACCATCAAGTTTTCTTATTAGAATGTCACCATCAAGTTTCCCTTCAACTAAGAAATGAAAAAACATCCCACCCAATTTAGGTGATTAGCCTTAAACAGAATTTTTTTATATATTTTTAGGTAAAAGATTCCAAGGCTCCTCGGATACCTTCTTAATTACATTCATACCTCAACCAATGAAGGGGCAAAACATATTTGTTTAATCGATTAAAAATGACAGTAGTTTGAAAAGAAAGCTACAAGATACTTCCTTCACATACGTAGAGCCTTCAGTTTTATTGAATCTTGCTGATTGGCCTGTGTATATGTGTGTGTGTCTCGAGTTGTGCATATATTTTCAGATGTTTATGTGTAATGTCTCTTGCCTTTCCTGCCTCATTCCTTTTTGTTGCTCTTGTTGTTCTTCTTATTGGAATGGAGATGGCTAGCCTTTTTGTAAACTTTGCACTTGGTGGTTATCTTAACATGCCCAGAAGGTAGGTAGTGCTTGTGGTGTATCACTGGGAAATGATCCACTAGTCTCACAAGATGTTCGTGTATCGACTGACATGTGTCACATATATGCTTTTGTGGGGCACACAGTATTCCAGATAAGTCTATAGTAACATTTTCCTTGTAGTCGTTTGCCAATTATAAGGAACTGGGTATATATCATCCTTATCGGTAGAACATTTGTTGTTTGATTGGGAAGCTTTCAGAAGGTTTGAAAGCCTTCAATTTGATTTTTCTGAAAAAAAATATTGGCTTAAAGTGTCAACAGGTGTCAATTTTTCACTAAAACACTTACCTCAACCTACGCTAGCTATAGCAACCACTGCAAAAAATTAGAAGATGGACACCCTCCCAGCTTACAATTAAGCCTTAGATATTTCAGATCAAGAGCAATGCAACCAGCCCTCCAGTCCCGAGCCCTCTACTAAGAGATACATAGTCAAGCAATGACACATAATACCAAAATATAAAGACTTGACCTACAAGACCTACAAAGGACCATATGGTACCTTAGAGACAAAGAACATGCTATGGAGTAGCAATTGGCAACACTTGCACTGGTCTCCTATGCTAACCAACTATAGTCACCAGCCTACCTATTCGTTTTGTGTATGTTGCACCTATAGTATCACAAACCATACTTCAGCAGGAGCAACTCCCTCAAACTACTCTTCCACAAGCACACTC